GTTACAGAAGAGGAAAATGATGCTCAGAAACTTTAATTGACTTCCCAAGGTCACACGAGTAGATCCTCTGATTCCAAGTCCACTGACATTTCTAGTGCCTACAGAAGAACACAGATCTGATTTGCTGTGAACATACCCAACATGATCAACCATGGGCCCTGAGGCCAGAGCTTTGTTCCAAATTCACAGGTCTGCTCAAAATGCTTCTCCACTGGAAAACTTGCAATGGCTCCCCTTTGCCCGCTAAAGTAACATCCGATTTACTTAATATGGCATTCAATGCCCTTCACAGTACGGTTCCAATATATTTCATATCATAGGTTTAGTTAGACCTGGAATAGGCCTTGTTGCTGTTGCTGGTCAGTTGTGTCTAACTCTTCATGACTACATTTGAGGTTTTCTTGGCAGAGATGCTGGAGTGGCTTGCCATTTCCTTCTCCAGCTCATTTTACAGGTGCAGAAACTGAGGCAAACAGGGTTAAGTGACTTGCCCAGAGTCACACAGCTAGTAAATGTCTGAGGCTAGATTTGAACTCAAGTCTTCCTGACTCCAGGATTGACTCTCTAGCCACTGTACCACCTGGCTGCCCTGGAATGGGCCTTAGGGATCATCTAATCCAACTCAGTGGCTAGAATGCCAGGCCTGGAGTCTGGAAGATTTATCATTGTGAGTTCACATCTGGTCTCAGACACTTACTAGCTGTGTGACCCTGGGCAAGTCACTTAGCCCTGTTTGCCTCAGTTTCCTCATCCATAAAATGAACTGGAGAAGGGAATGGCAAACCACTCCAGTATCTTTGCCAAGAAAAGCCCAAATGGGGTCATAGAGAATTGGACACAACTGAAATGACTCAACAACAATAACAACCTATCTAATCTTTTAAGAATGAGGAAATGAAAGCCAAGAGGCAGTAACTAAGATTACATAAGTAGTCAAAAGCTAGGATGCAAACCAAGGTTCTCTGACACTACAGCCAGTGTTTACCACACCCCATCACATTGCCTCTACAGCCTTAGCTCACACTGCTACCTTTCACAAACTAAACTACTCACAAGTCCCCTAAAGATCCACCTTTTCCAACCTCCTTGTCCTTTTTTCTATTGCCCTATGCACCAGAAATGGATTCGTCTCCCATCTCTGCCTACTTCAGTCTTTGCTGTCCCAATTCATGTGCCATCTTCTCCAAGGGAGCTTCCATAAACAGGGTCTTCCACAGCATTTTATCCATATTCTCTCCTATGTATTTTCATTTTTATTTTTACCATACCTGTGATTTCATTAGTGTAGGGAGTTTCTGGTGAGGTAAGAGAATTGCCTGGGGACATTGAGAAGTTAAGTGACTTGCCCAGGGTCACATAGTCAATATGTGTCTGAGGGAAATCAGCTCTTTCTATCTCCAAGGCCATCCACCTACCCATTACCTTACACTTTTCCCTTATATACTTCTCATTTTCCTATTTGCACTACATTTATTCAGGTTGGGTTTTTTTCCACAACTAGACCAGAAGCTCCTCAAGGGCAAAGACGATGTTACAAGGTTGTTATGAGTGCAAAGCTTCATAAAACATTCTTCTGAAAGTCCTACAGAAATGTGAATTTGTGATTTACCTTTATATCTGCCAAGCCTAGCACAGTCCCTTGCATAAAGAAGTCATTCAATATACATTTGTTGAATTGATTTGGGTACTCACATCCAGAACTTGGTGTACAAGGGAATTATGCATAAAATCGCTCAGTGTTTCTGTTTGACATAGTTGTTCTTAGACTTTGGAGGAAGAGAGATGGAAGATGAGGTCACAGATAAAGCCATGTAGCATCAGAAGGAGAATGCAGCAGACAGGCCTGCTAGTCACCAAAACTCTAGCCTTTGCCTGGAAAGGTCAAGTCCTCCCTTCTCTCCCTGGTGACTTCCACTCTTTAGAGGTTAGAGTTATGGTTAACAGAGGGTTCCCTGAGGAATCGTCCCTGGAGCCACACAGATCATGGCATTCACATATGCTGACTGATTATCTTACCTGATCACCCACCTGATACAATCCAGGGTTTAACTTTGTCTTAAATGCTCTGGGTCATATCACACTTACCACAGAGCTCTTTCAATGTTTAGTGAAGACCATTTAAAGTTGGCAGGACTCAGAGGCTGGCTATCTTATATAGAAAATTCTCTCATTTATAACTGCATCCCTTTCTTTGTCTTACTAGTCTCTATAGCCAGTAATTTCTGCCGTGCATCAGCCAGTGCTCAGAAAATATAAGCAACAGTAGCCATAGAAGATATAAGCAACAGTAGCCAACTGGTTATATGCAAAATTCTCTTTCAAAGCAAATGCAGATGGCATGAAACCCAACACCACATTAGATCTCTTCAGAAATGTCACCAGAACAATGGTTACACATAGAGTGCTATTAAAAAAGGGGAAAAAAGCATTCAGCTACACCAGACATTGTCCCCAACTTTGCCTTCTTAAAGGCCCTTGAACTTGGGCCCTTCTTAAGGAGCTGCTGGTCAAAATAGCATTTTTTGTCTAAAGAACAGAAAAAAATGAAATTTCTCAATGAAAATCTGGGTACTAGCCTTCATGTTAAATAGGCATCCCATCACATTCTGAAAAACTTAACTGGGGCACTGTCACTATCTAAAATTCTACTCTATCTAATGGGTATGTAGTTCTGAAAATAACAACAAATGTATTATTGTTTATAATGATCATTACAGCTATTCACATTTATGTGGTATTTTATGGTTTGCAGAACACTTTGGATATACACTGTGGTAAAGCTTGAGACAAGTACTGTTATACCATTTTACAGATGAAGAAATCTGAGGTTAAATGAATTGTCAAGGGTCCCACGGTTAGTAAGTGTCTAAGATATGACTTGAACTCCAAGCACCAACACTTTATCCATTACACCACGCAGCTTATCAAACATCTGGCAGCCTCAACCCTCCGAGACGGCCCAAAAGCCTGAAGTTTAGTCACAGAAATGATATTCCAGAACAAAAATATCCTGAAACAGTGATTTTTTTAAAAATTCAAAATAAAAGTCTAAAGAGAGTAAATTTGTAAAATGGGACTCTCCTAACATGGAAGATACTTTCTTTGGCATATGACAGGGTCTCTTCTTACTCCTCAAGAGAGTGAGGCTGATGACTTGTGCAGCTCTGCCTCACTTAAGTCCAATTCACACTCATGTCAAGCCATCACTCTGGTGAGATCATTAGTCTTCTTCGAGAATGAGGGACAAACAACAACAGTCCCTGCCCCTCAGAAGGGGATGAATTAAGCTTCCTGTGCTACAAGGGAAAGAGGAGTGCCTTATCCCTATCTGGAATTATTCTTATTCTCTATAACCTGGCAGGCAGAAACAGGCTATATTCTCTTAGCAAAAGATATTGCTCAACTCGAAGTTAATAATTTTCTTCCTTTTCTTATAACCTGAATCTTTCCCTGATTTAACATAACCACAAATCCTTTACTGAGAAGACAAACGAGCACATGTGGCTTTCTTTCATTCCAGCTCTAAATGAGACACACTGTTCGAAATGATACTTCTGAGACTGAAAACACAGGTGCCCTCCTTGCAGTCTACAGAAATGCTGATTTTCACTTTGTTCAAACCTGCCTAATTTAAAAAAATCTTCCATCTCTGACACTACCTGTGTAAACACCTAGAGAAGCTGGATGAGGCCCACAAAAGCAGTTTCTGCCATATTTGTAGCTCAGACTCCAAGGGATCATCCATGCCACAGACCTACTCTTTAATTACAGAAATATGCAGAAGATGAATCTTTTGCAAGAATGCATTGACAGTACTTTGAGCTGTAGTATCCTCAGAAGCAGCCCTTAGATTTTAAATGACTGTAACACAGCAAACTCTAAGCTATAAAAGTTATAACTGGTACGAGCAATGGAAGACGTAATGTCTAAGGGAAGAAATTAATATTATAGGTGAACTGACCTGTGTACCTTTTTAAATTCAAAAAGGAATACAACAAAGAGGATTGGGCCAATTTAACTTCAGGTTCCTGTTGTGTGTGGTTTTTTTTTTCTTCTTTATCTCAATTTGGTTCTATTTTCTATAATCCCTTCAAAACTGCCATCCAATTTCACACTATCCAGCCTCTGGCATTGTGCTGCTAACTAGAATCTTGGACTGGAACCTCCACAGATCTGATAACAATTGCTTTCAAATTGACATGGATCAGGAAAAGCTTCATCTTCAAAGCTCAGACAGAACCTAATAGCCAGCCTCCAGTCCTTCCTTGGGGCCAGAAGGGTAGCAGACCCTGCTGAGAGTCATTCCATCCTTTAGAGAATTCACACCAGTCACAGGAAACAGCCAGAGGATGATGACATCATCTCAGCTAATAGGGCTTTTTTGAGAGTGGAGAAGAGCCACAGCAGCAAGGGAAGAGAAAACCGCTGGGCTTCTCTTTTCTATTTTTAACATCAATTATTTAACTTTTAAAAATAAGTCACATGCCGCACGATTCAAAGGCATTACAGGTAATCACTGGGAACTAAAAATACTCTTTCGGCTCCTCATCTTTAGAACCCAGTCCCTTTAGTCACGACCGGCACAATGCACTGAGAAGGCAAATTCCCTGATCTTTCCTCACCTTCTTATCTAGAGCCTGTCTGACACACACTGACTACAGGAACCAGAATCCAAAGAGTCATTTTTGCAAATCATTCACATCCATCTTTCTCTAGAATATTTACCCTGCATATTTTTTTAAATTCTGATTTTTTAAAAAAATGTTTTTTCTTTTATAGCTAATAATGTGCCATCATTAGGATTTTTTTAAAAAGCCTGTCTACTTGAATGCTTAATTTATTTACTTCCACCAATCCCAGAAATATAGCAGTCTTGAACTGTCACATATATTAAACTAATCCTTCCCCCAAAAGTCTCTTTCTAACATTTTTCTGGCAGCCAAACGGAACATCACCAGCCCTGCTTCACCTTCTTCCCCACCTCCATTCCCCTGACTTACGGTGGGCTGTTTTGTTCTGGTCGCTTTGGACACTGTCTGCTGACTGGTTGCTAGAGGCAGAAGAGATGCTGGAGCTCCTGACGAAACCAAACGCTGCCAGTTTCGCTGCTGGGAGACGGGAATACCCAGGAGGGCGAAGTCCAGATTTGGGGAGGTTGGCTCTTGCAGAGTTTGAACCAGAGGCTTTCTTCAAATCAGCTGAGAAGGAGGGCAAACAGAATAAGTGTTTTGCTTAATAGGATAAGCCAGGGAACCCCATAAGTTGCAACTATCTTTGAAGATTTAAAGCTGGAAGGTGACTCAGAGGTGATCTAAATCATTTTAATTTAATCCTCTGTCATTTTACCAATGAGAAAACTGAAGCCCACAGTGGTGAAGGTGACTTGTCCAAGGCCACACAGATAAAGAGCAAAACTCAGTTCTTATGACCCTAAATAAAGTGGTCTTTCCACTACCTTGAGATGCTTCTCAAAAGTACTGCCAAAACCTGGAAAGATTTGTATGGTCTGACGCTGAGTGAAGTCAGCAGAACCAAGAGAATGTTGTACACAATAACAGCCACGTTGTGCAATGACTAATATTGATAAACTCAACCCTTCTTAGCAATACAAGGAGGCCTCATGATGGAAAATGCTATCCACATCCAAAGAAAGAACTATGGAAGTTGAATTGCTATCTTTTTTTTCCTCTTCTGTTGAGTTTTGTTTCCTCTTTCTGATGGTTCCTCCTATTGGTTTTAATTTTCGCTTACAGCATCACTAATGTGAAAATATGTTTAATAGGAATGTAAGTGTATAGCCTATATCAGATTGTGTGCCGTCTTGGGGAGGGTAGTGGGGAGGAAGGGGGAGAAAAATTTTAAACTCAAAAGCATATGGAAGTGATTGTTGATAAATCAAAATAAATTAATAAAATAAATTAAAAACAAACACAAATCAAAAGTACTGCCAAGTTTCAGAACTTGGGACCCATCTCTTATTTTGTTTTTGGCTAGGCAATGGGGTTAAGTGACTTGCCCAGGGTCACACAGCTAGTAAGTATCAAGTGTCTGAGGCTAGATTTGAACTCAGTTCCTCCTGACTCCAGGGCTGGTGCTCTATCCACTGCGCCACCTAGCTGCACCCACCCCCCCATCTCTTAACTTTACAGAACAAAGGTTTCAAGCAGTTCAGGTTAGACATAGCAGGAACCAAACAGCACATGCATCATGAATTCAGAAATGCTTGGAACCAAACTGTTACCAGGCTTGAGAAGACAGGCTCACAGGATGGTTTTCAGGAATATCTGTTTGGCTCCTTCCTTTATTTGTTTCTGCTCTGATCTTTGAAACCACTTTGGAAACACATGAAAGCCCATTTATTCCAAAATATTAACATGTAGGTATAAAAAGTTATGCCTCAGCATTTCCAGCCTCTACTTCTGGCCCCATGAATGAATGGACACTGAGAATTGAGTCAGGACTCATTTCAAGGGGATCACTGCAAGAAAGGAATCTGAAAAGTTTTTGATAAACTAATATTCCATTATATGAAATGTAAAAAGCCCAATCTTGAGTCATGCTCCTTAATCTGACTTAACACTGGAGAACCCCAAACCATCCAGTTAGGAAATTCAGAGTATTGAGTGCTAGGCCTCTGCATAGATAGTCATCATTTGGTATTTTTTTGAGTCTATATACGATCATCTAGTCCAGCTATGAAGAAATCAAGTGGAAGTATTTCTCATGGAACAGTCCAAAAATTGGTAAGGAAGAAATAACTCTTGTTATTTGGGACACAAATGTATTCAAATATCATTAGGCCATACAAGTCTCAGGATACTGACTGACTGTCCTTATGCACAAGTTTGACCATGTCATGACTTTCTTCAATAAACACTAGCGATTCTATTGGTTCTAGAATAAAATCTACAGTCCTCTTTGTGCCATTTAAAATCCTTCATGACCTGACTGCTCTCCATATTGGCAGACTCACCATATATTATGTCCTCTTCCCACATGCTATGAAACAGCCAAACTGGTTTTCTTACTATTATTTACACACAAAACTCCATCCCCTGTCTCCATCTCTCTTCCCTGACCATCCTCCACGCCATGCTTGGAATGCACTCCCTCCTCACTCTTGTATCTAAGAACACTTTGCTTCCTTCACTATTCAACTCAAACTACCCCTTCTACAGGAAGTCTTTCTTGATCTTCCCTAGCTGCTAAGTATCTTCTCAAAATGGCCTTGTATTTATTTTATGTGTATGTGTATATACATGCATATATAGTCATATACATTGTGTATAAACCTATGTATTATATATGCATAACATATAATATATATTATATATAAACATATATGTTATGTACTTTGTACATAGTTCTTCAGTCATTTTTCAGTCTGTCCAACTCTTTGAGACCCCATTTGGGATTTTCTTGGCAAAGATACTGAAGTAGTTTACCATTTCCTTCTTCGATCTATTTTACAGATGAGGAAACTGAGGCAGACAGGGTTAAATGACTTGCCCAGGGTCACACAGCTAGTAAGTATCTGAGGCTGGATTTAAACTCAGGAAGATAAGACTTCCTAACTCCAGGCCTGGTGCTCTATCCACTTTGCCACCCAGCTGCCCTACATTCGTACACAAACATTATTACATATGTTTGTATATAAACATATACAACACACATACTTATTTATAGAAAATGTATGTGTGTATGTAAGCTCCCTGAAGGCAGGAACTGTTGCATTTTTGTACCCTCAGTACCTAGCACACAGTGGGAGCTTAGTAAATGCTTACTGATTGTTCAATTGACTTCTTTTTTTATTTCACTAGCCTTTTCTTGCTCGTCTTCTTCTCCATACATAAGATGAGTTGTCATTCAGCCAGTTCAGTGGAATAAGTGGAAGTCAGACAATGGAACAACAAAAAACCTTAGAGCTGGAAGGTTTAAAAATCTTAAACATCATTTAATCCAAGCTATCCATTTTACTGCTGAAGAAACCAAGGCTCAGAGAAATGGAAGGACTTACTGACAGGAGGATAGTTGGTTTACTTAAGTAGCGGCAGAGTTAAACTCTTCATGTCCTCAGTAACTCTCTAAGGCTCAAAGCTGCAGAACAGTTATTGACCTGCATTGGTAGATGGGGTTTCCTCATTGGAAATCTCCTATACCAATGAAATTATCCACTGATTCAGCCCAGAAAACAAATTACGATACCTGTAATTCTGATTGTCTTTCTTTTGGTCTAAAATAGGCTTGTCTGTTTGTTGTTGTTCAGTCATTTCAATTGTGTCTCTGACTCTTCATGACCCTGTTGAGGGGGTTTTCTTGGCAAAGATATTGGATTAGTTGGCCATTTTCCTCTCCAGTCCATTCTACAGATGAAGAAACTGAGGCAAAGAAGGCTAAGTGACTTTCCCATGGTCACAGTCAAATTTGAACTCAGGTCCTCCTGACTACCAAGCTTGGTACTCTACTATGCCACCTAGCTATCCCTTACCCTGTATACTTTTACACAAATCTAGATATCTTTCATTAATCTCTAGGACACAATCATGACTTAGATGGCTGAATGGCGTGTAAAAAATCCACTCCTTTCTGCACAGAGAACAAACCAGATGACACTGGACATCTCACTCCATTCTCTGATTTTGTGAAATGTGAAAGGTTTACCCATTCCTAGTTACCTAAAGGATTTGAAGTTATTCAAGTCTCTAAAATTTAAAAATATCTTACAGAAATCCTCACAAAATGGGGCTCTTTGAAAAGAATTTTGGTCATAATGACTTCTCAGAGAGAACCAAAGGAGGAATAGCCCTTCCCCTTAAAACAGTCAAAATTTTGATTACTCAGGAATGCAGTTCTGTATGAGTCTGGAAACAAATACACAACTCTACCCTTGGAAACAGTGAAAAGTGTTGTGTATGGTCCATTTCAATCTAGAACACAGCACAGAGTTTAGGGAGAGATAAGAAGTCTTCTACAACAATGCCTTGCATTTCCCTTGGCCATCTCCACCTCATCTATTTCTCTCAGATTCAGTTTGGAAGGATTCTGAGAAAACCATTAAGTGTTAGATACTGAACTTGGTTCTTCATTGTGTCTTTTTCCAAAACCTGCTTGTAACCTGTTAGGTAAAATAAACGATTTATGCAACAGGTCAAAGACCTTTCCCAATGAATAATTCTATCATCGTCCATTTAAGAGGAAATTAATGAAAATAAACAATAGGGTTTTTTAAATTAGCTTTTTCTGTATCAACTGTTCAAATCCTATGCAAAGCAGAATAAGATAAGCACTCTATTTTCTTGGATAAGGCATTACATTTTGACAAGATTTTATGGGAATAAAAGATTAACAGCTCTGTTTGAACTGAAAAACTGATTTCAGTGTCATTGAAAATGTGAAAGATGCTTTGCTATTTCAAAGGGAAACCATTTTGTCCTTTTGAAAAATAAATCTTTTGAAGAAAGGAAATTGGCAAATTCCTCCAAAACTTCAAGAGCTGTTTCTGTTGTGCTTTTTTTTCCTTTTGTTGATCTTGCTTTAAATGTGACACTGTAAATGCTACAGGATGGTTCCTCAGAATGCCAATCAGAATGAGCCAGTGTTTTAAACTCTGAATTAACTGATACTCATGAGACAGAAGCTGTCATGATGCAACATTTTTTCAAGCCATAGGTAATAAAATAAAAGAATCAAGTATTTGAAAGGCAATTATGTTCAGAGCAATCTAGTAAGTCATATCCCCTCTGGATAGGGGAGTACAAGAAGAAGAGAGGATGAGAATGGTAAACATCTTTCAGACTCATGTTTTTCTACAATTTTATGTCAGAAAAAAATTTGCTTCTATCACATTTTTTTTTACATACTATGAGTATACACACCTTAGCTCTTTTAAGGAGCTAGGTGGTGCACTGGATAGAAGACTGGACCTGGAAAACAGGAAATCAGGTCCAGGAAAGCCTGAGTTCAAATCCAGCCTCAAACACTAACTAGCTTACCCCAGGCAAATCATCTATCATCTGCTTGTTTTTGCTTCCCCATCTATAAAATGGGGTTAATAGCAACATGCCTCCCAGGGTTGTTCAGGATGAAACAAGAGAATGTTTATAAAGTGCTCTGCAAATCTCAAAGCGCTATAATAAATGCTAGCTATTGCAATTATAATTATTTGCTGGTATGACATATGATATGATATATGATATGA